AAAGGAGTACCAGTCCAACCACTTCACGCAGTTCTTGGCAGAAAGAGGCATCAAACGCCTCATCTCTCTTCCTTACGCTCACCAACAGCAGGGTGTGGCAGAAAGGATGAACAGGACCCTGCAGACAACCATGCGAAAGCTGCTACGTGGGACTCGACTGCCCAACTCAGAATGGCCAGCAGCGATGGACCACGCTGTCCTCCTGCACAACTTGCTGTCCTTGTCGTCACTGCCCAACAACGCATCACCGCACCTGTTGTGGACTGGGAAGCTGGGCAACACAAAAATGTTAAGAGTTTTTGGGTGTATGGTACAGTACCGCCCACACACTGCACGCGCAGGGAGATTTTCACAACGTGCACAGTGGGGTCTACACCTCGGGCTGGCAAAACATTACGAAGCCTGGCGGATCTTCGACGTCCACACAAAAGAAATAGTAGCAGCACGTGACGTTATCTTCTACGAGCGACTCACCCTCAACCATTACCTGGACAACATCGCACGCCACGTCGACCCCACCGGCAGATTTTCTGGCTCCTGAGCCTTCGTTTCACCCTCCGACGCTGCTGACTGGGAAGAAGAAAACGTCGACAACGCCTCCGAAGCTGCTGGACCCCTTCCTTACTGCTCCGTCCCAATCCCCATGGACGAAGAAAATCCTCGCGACAGCAACAATGCCGACGTCTACTACCATTTCGCCGACACTGGTTACGTAACACCCCAACCCGTCAACACCGACACTTCATAACGATACGGCCCCGGATTCGCACCTGATCCTGAAGCGGGAGACGAAGCAGTCTATCCCGAGGATCCCTTGCTCAACCGTCACACACCCAGCGGGCTCCAAGTCCTGGGACTCATCGCTGCAGTGCACGGGGCTTCGACGCCACCTGAAGAGCCTCGCTCTGCCAAGCAGGCTCTGGGGGGGGAACACAAGGAAAAATGGCGCGAAGCCATGGAAAAGGAGTTAAAAGCTCTTTCAGACCGCAACACCTGGAAGATCGTCCCTGCATCACTCGCAAAAGACAGACCCATCCTCTCCGGAAAATGGGTATTCCGGATCAAAACCAACTCCGACGGAACCATCGAACGATTTAAAGCTCGATGGGTCGTCCGCGGATTCGACCAAGAATATGGTCGCGACTTCACTGAAACCTTTGCACCAGTCAGTCGACACACCTCTCTACGCATTCTCCTCGCCATCGCCGCCTCACGTCGCCGCCCACTCCGACAAATTGACGTCGCCAACGCTTTTCTGTACGCCCCAGTCGACGCTGAAATCTTCGTCGAACAGCCCCACGGGTTCGTCGACGACCCTTCCCTCGTCTGCCAACTACTTAAATCACTGTACGGAATTAAGCATGCACCGCGACTCTGGCAGCAGTACCTGCACGCACGACTCAAACGCATCGGATTCAACCAACTGCCCCACGACTAGTGCATGTATCGCCTCACTCACGACAACGACTACGTCCTGTTAATCGTCTACGTCGACGATTTACTTTACATCGGGTCAACTATCACCATCGTCACCTGGTTCGAGAAGGAACTTCAGACAGATCTCTCCCTGACAGTCTCACCCAACGTCACGCAGTACCTAGGGCTCAACATTCTCGACGAAGACAACGCCATTCGTCTCAGCGCCTCAAAATACGCAAGCACTATCGCCGAACGCTTTTGCATCACACCGACGCACGTCGCAACACCCTACAGTCACCTATCGCCCGACCCAACCGAAGAAACCAACCTACTGTCGTCTGCCGGAATCAAGGAATATCAACAGAAACTGGGCTGCCTACTCTTTGCCACTGTTACGTGCCGACCGGACCTATCCTACAGCGCCAGCCAGCTAGCGACCTACCTCAAGCGCCCAGAAGAACGTCATCTCAAGGAACTCAACCGTGCTCTTCTCTACTTCATCTCGACGCCAACAATTGGCCTAACGTATCACAAGAGCGCAACGACTGACCTAAAACTACTCGGCTACGTCGACGCTGATCACGCTGCTGATCGTGTCGATCGTCGCTCCCGCACCGGTTACGTCTACCGTCTCGAGCCCGTCGGAACTATCTCCTGGCAATCAAGTAAGCAAGAACTCGTCGCACTATCATCTGCTGAAGCAGAGTATATTGCTCTCTGCACCGCTACCAAGGAAGGTCTGTACCTGCGCGAACTGCTGGAAGAAGCGAAAATTTGGAAAGTACCCAGCTTCTCACTTTTCTGCGACAACCAGTCCGCGATACGGATCGCGAACAAAAACGGTTTCGCCAACAGGACTAAGCATATCGCACTGCGATACTTCTTCGTGAAAGACGAAATTGAGAAGGGAAAACTCCAGCTGGACTACTGCCCGACCACTAAGATGACAGCAGATTATCTCACCAAGAAGCTGCCTAAGGGGAAATTCGAGTACTGCATGCAGCTCACCGGATTGGGCCACGTCACCGAAGCTGACCACGTCGACACTCCAGAAACGAAGGGGAGTGTTGGGAATATAAATGCATGACTTAGTGCGTTTCTGCAGTATCGAACCTCACCCGATACTGAAGCACAACAAAAGGAGTATGAAGTCGAAAAGGCGCGTACCACATTCAACCGCAACTGTAGGTTGCGAGATGTAACCGCCTGGAGGTTACGTAACAGCAAGCGACGCTTCAGTGAACAGTAACCGCCTCGATAGTCGAAGCGTTATGGGTCTCGATAAACATAACCGCTTCCTGTAATCTATCCTTTCCTATATATTCCTGTATGCTCTTTGCTTTAATCAATTACTTGTTCTCACACACTAGAACAAGTACATTCACTCAAAGACTTCCGCTGTGCTACTCTAGCACCTATTAGCCTATTCTCTGCAAAGATCCTAAGGCTGAAATACTCAGCCCAACAGCTGGCAGGGAAGCCAGTATTATATATGCCCCACTGCAGAGCATTGGTATATGTCAGTGGTTCCTGGGACGGCATGCGGCTATTGTTCGAGCGATATGACGCAAAGGATAAAGCCATTGGAAGACGACAACGTACTAGATTCGCTTAATATTCGGACGTGCAAGAGTCGCCATAGAATTACAGGATCTTCGAGTGCAACATGCCCTGACTGCAATGGCACGATGAACTGCAATTTATATCCTGTGAAGTACAACCCTGCAAAGTTGTCTGGAGGAGTCGTGAAGAATATTCTTTTCATGGTGGCTGACAACCTTGAGTTCTTCCCCAGTTCTACAACCAGGAGCCTCGAGTTGCTGGACAGCTTTGGTGTGAAGGCCATTGGGGATCTAGAAACCTTCCAAGCCACTGTAACCAAGGATCATGTGAGTATTGTACCGTAACCACCTTTATCTGCTAACTACTGGACTGGATACAGTACGTGTAATATACGGTAGCACCTCTGTTTGTGTTCGCAGGTACTATCGCTGGTTCAAGCTGCAATGATGTCGGCTTCCCCCCTGAATGATGTGTTTGGGGATGTTGGGAGGCGGTAGTCATAGACAAAATGCTGTACCATTGCACTACTTTGCGTTACCAAGTAGTCTTAGCCGGCCGGTACTTAACCAAGATGAAGCCTCCACTCCTACCGTTGTCATATTTGTCAATTTCTCTTCCTCAATATGATGGTGCGAGCTTGGTGAGCTTCATGATGTTCAAATTGACTTCTCAGGAAGGTATGAAATGAGGGAACAGGGAAATGCTATGAAGAAGCTAGGAGAAGTACAGAAGAGAGAACGAGGGGAGAGAGAAATGTGAGAATTGCTGATATGGGATGCCAATGTGAGCAAAGTTCAGGTACATATGCGTGTTGAACTAAGTGAGTGGGGCAGTGGACCCAACCAATGTTTCATGAGGCATGATGATAGCAATAGGGTGGAGAGGAGACCTAGGGCACAGGAGCATGCCAAGAGACGACTGGCCATGTCAGGATGCTTCGGTAGGTCGATCACATGTTTTCAGTACGATAGTTTATGACGGAAGAGAGATGGATGTATGATAAACAGGAAGAATCGAGTTGGGCAAACTACTCTAAGACAGGAGTTGATTCTGATTGGTACAGTGAGAATCTATTTCAGATGACGGGAAAATTAAGTGGTGGATATTTGAAGCACGTGCTGTACTCCGCTTAGCTCTAAAAGCCACAGCATTGCGCCCTTACGAATGCAATCCACATGGTAAGATCATGCCCTTTATATAACACTACATTGTTTATGATGCCCCTGCAGAATATAAAAAGCGGAGATGTTCTGCGATCGACGTTAAGAATGTCTAAAAAGAATCCTCAACTCAACCTCGTCGCTTCGCACGAAACTTACTAGAAGCGCTCACCAGTTGCTCTCGCTGAGGGTGCCAGAGGTGGAACATCGATTGTATCTGGTGGCAAGGAGTAGTGGGGAGCATGGGAAGAGGGAGTGAGAAAAGAAGAAAGAGTGGAAGGATTTGCAACGCGAGGGACAACTGTGCATCCACATCCACGTACCCAGTGTGAAAATATGGGAGGTTGGGGGGAAAGAAATGGGCGGAGGGGACGGCGAGAGGATGAGGATGCGATAAGGGGAAGAGGGAGGAAGGGGTGAGGGAAAAGGGATGTCACACAGGAAGAAGAGGGGGTAGGCATCACACTCACCCATACCCCATCTCGCACTCACCCATACCCCATCTCGCACTCACCCATACCCCATCACACACTCACCCATACCCCATCTCGCACTCACCCATACCCCATCACACACTCACCCATACCCCATCTCGCACTCACCCATACCCCATCACACACTCACCCATACCCCATCTCGCACTCACCCATACCCCATCACACACTCACCCATACCCCATCTCGCACTCACCCATACCCCATCTCGCACTCACCCATACCCCATCACACACTCACCCATACCCCATCTCGCACTCACCCATACCCCATCATACACTCACCCATGCACCATCGCACTCGTCCATGTTCCCTTTGTTGTTTTGCACCCCCTCCACCTCCACTCTCCCCTCATCCTCTTCACTTACACCCCCTTTTCCCACATCCAATCAACCCTCACCACTCCCATACCATCCTCTCCCACCACCCGCCATGCAAAGGAATGCCAGTGTACACCCCTACCCTTCCCCCCCTCAGGCATCTGCCCCTGCCCGTAATGGCCGCTGCACGCCCCCCCTTGCTCCTCCCCCTTGCTCCTCCCCCTTGCTCCTTCCCCTTGCTCCTCCCCCTTGCTCCTCCCCCTTGCTCCTCCCCCTTCTCCTCCTCCTTGCTCCTCCCCCTTGCTCCTTCCCCTTGCTCCTCCCCCTTGCTCCTCCCCCTTGCTCCTCCCCCTTCTCCTCCCCCTTGCTCCTCCCCCTTCTCCTCCCCCTTGCTCCTCCCCCTTCTCCTCCCACCATGGTTTTCCCCCCCCAGCTGTCCTCCACGCGCGTCCCCCCTCTTTCCCTTTCCCCCTGGGCGGATGCAAAGAGAAGGATTGGCGCCCATGGGGGTGGGGGAAAGAAATTGCTTCCCCTGGCCCTCCCTCCCCTGGCCCTCCCTCCCCTGCCCGTTCCCTCTTTGCCATCTCATCTGCCTGCTGCCATTGCTGCCGCTTGTCTCGTTTGAAGCATTGATGCCGTGTGCATTGCCATGCCATAGAAATTCCTAGGTTGGCGGTGGCAGGTGATACAACAACCCTTCTCAGTCAGCCTGCGTCCTATCTGTGTGGGAGTGCGGAGTGAATCTATGGAGTGCCTCCTCGCAACGCCTTATGTAAGCTGCCGCTCTATCCGGAGGAGTAGCACTATCTAGGTATGTGACACAGGCACAGTAATCAACGGAAGCAACTATCGGATGCAGTAGCACGGGCATTTTTGCAGGTCCGTTGGGGATCTTTAGAAACTTTGGGCTAACGTACGTAAGGGGGCAATGTGCTAATTCCGGCAAAACAGCTCGTCGCAAGTCTAGAATATGTGTATCGACTACTAGCGCGCACGTCTGCTTGGACTGTGCCTCTCCAATCTCCTTATAAGGCACCTCAATCGCCAGTTTCGCCCCCCAACTGTGCCAGTCAAACCGAGAACCCTAATTTCAGGGTCTCTGTGAATAATTCTAACACCCAATAGTTACCCCGGGCGTAACCCTAACATTGGCTGGCTCGATCTCGGCTCCGCTGTTTCCAACTACCCAGCGATAGGCCGTGAATCGCAGCCGCTACCAAGTTGCATGCCAAGAACTAATGCGAGAAGTACATGTCTCTTACCAACTGACCGCTAGCAACTGCTAAATCCACGCACTGACATGGCATGACTCACAACATGCATGACCGAAAGTGCATAAATGACGTGGCAGAGATAGGGTCGCACCTTTCTGCCTTGCCACCCCTTGTCCGCATTTCCCTGTCCTGCTGCCCGCTGTAATTCTCGTCGTCCCCTCATCCGCCACTACCCATGCCTTACTCGACCTCTGCCCTCACTCTTGCCTCTCCCCTTCCACGCCTCATCTCTCTCTGTCCGTGAGCAGTTCGCGCCTCATCCCCTTCCCCTGCCCGACCCACGTATGCCCTTCCGCGCCTCATTCCGCCCTGTCCAGGTGCAACGCAGGCCTCGCTCGCAAGATAATCGGCCCGTGCGGCAATGGTTTGGGCTGCGATCGCGCGAGCGGAGCATCTCTCCTGTCGCGCGCCAAGATTCTCTTTCTTCCTACTTTCCCCCTTCAACACCCAGTCTCTGCTCCTCCTCTCCTCCGCCTTCCGACGCTGCGTCTCCGCAATTTGCGCTCTGCGTCGGAGCAACTCTCCATCGCGCGGCGATAAGAACCGACTTCTCCTCGCCGACTCGGTCTGTGCTCCGCCTCTCCCCTCCCTCTCCGCCTTACGCAGTTCCGTCTTGACCTGCCGGCTCCATTCAACCCTTCTTGCTACTCGTTCGCGAATATGAAGTTTAGCAATGAGAAATCGATCGCGAGCGAATACCGGGCTCGCTGATAAGCGTTTCGCGCGATGCGCTGTCGCACAGTGACTTGCCCCTGTGCGATAAAATCTGCGCCGCTCGTGGACGGACAGAGTGAATACTTCCGATTTACACACTAACGCAAATTCGTTACAAGTAGAATGAGTGACAGCAACGGATGTGAGATCCAGTAACTGGAATACAGAAATTGAAAAGGGGAGTGTAGTGTGCCTCTCAGATAGCAGCTCATGGCTGGATGGAGCCATGTACATTGTTTTATGATAATTGTATTCCTATATTCATAAAAAACTGTACTTCAGTATTGTACGATCGTCCTACGATTCCAAAGTGATCATAATATCAAATAACTCAGACCGATATTACCTGCCATTCCCCATCAAAACGTTCGATATCTAAACTATTTTTTTATTTGCCAATTAATCTATTGATGCTGATCTCAATGTTTCCATTTAAACTACAAATAAATGTTCCTGCCTTTTAGTGAGGAAGATTAATTTTGTAAATATCTCGCGGGAGTGTTTTGCATTGGCTAATGGGAGAGGATCCAGATGCAAGGCTGTGCCGAAGCGTTCGCCTTGCCAGTACCGAACCTTGGCAACGTATATCTCTCCCATCTTTTTCGAGGAACTCAATTCCTGAGATAGAGCTGGTCTTTCGTTAGTCCTGGAGGAGGAGACGAAGACGCGATCGGCCATCTCAGCAAGTTGACGAAATTAGCCATTTACAACTCGAAGGAGGAAGAATGAGACGCTTTTTGGTTAACAGACATGATACGGATAATGCGACAAAATATGGGGCAGCATTGGGGTGGGTTTGTTTGACACGAAGAAAGAGCTCTCGCATTGTTGGATACAGCTGCTGATGAATTCGTTTCTCGTAGGTCCTCGCCTAGAGTAACGAACGCGTCCGACTCATTTGCTTTCGGTATGCCATCCTCGAAGTACATGGCGCACGCCAGCCAATTATCGCAAAGCATATCACCATCATACCCAAGTGCCTCACAAGGCTCTCAGGTTTGTGAAACTCGAATCATGAGTTTACGATGGTTTGCTGATAGAAATTCTCCACATAACAACTCTCTCTCAGCGACAGGTTACTCAGGAGACAGCGCAACCGTCGGTCTCTCTTCAAAAGTATTCGTCGCAGCCCTTGCTGCGCGTGAAAAATGGCCAGGAGAAGAGTTTTTCGAACTTGACGAATTCACTTCAAAGATTGATGCCGCCTTGCAGTGAGTCGCTCACATTGGTTCGATAATGGCTGATTGTGGAGAGATTTCTCAACATCGGATGCAAGGTGTGCAGATTGCAGTGAGGAAACGAACCATAAGGTCGAGAATCTGTGCAACCAAATTGTTGAAATCGCAGAGGACATTTCGCAGATGAAGACCGACTTGGGGCACTTGAAAGACGACTCACGTATGCTTTGTTGAAGCTGTTTCTAGAACATGTACTGCCAAGCTGCTCATATGGTTGACCTATTGTCCTGCAGGTGAAGATCAAGAGGGACGATTTCGACAGCTCATCATTCAGACGGTAGGTCTATCCTGTGATGCTTGCGGATTGCATATTGCTGAGGCTTTTGCGCTTGGAAACAGGTGGAGTCTGCAGTTCAAAAAGGCATGAATGAACTTCGTTCGGACATGATGAAGAACATGACAACCATGCTGAGGAATCAACAGCGTGTAAGAGATTTCGTTTGACTTTTGTCTTGGAAGATGCGATAATTATGAAACTTTCAGGAATTCGAAGGCAAGGAGCTGAATATTTCACCAATGTTTGACAAGCGAGAACAACCTCAGCGTCATGTGAATGGCCATGCTCAAATAAAAAGGAGAACTGAAGGGAAGATGACTGACTTCATGCAGGTAACACTCGTTTTTCTATCTTGTTGCTATGTACCCGTCGTGCCTTGTTTCTTGCTCACACTGTGTTGTTTTATAGGTGACCAAGAATCACAACCATGAATTAATGCAGTTAAGGTGGGAGGTCATTGGACTGTTTCCTTCCGTTTCATTCAATATCCACCTTCGCATGCCTCACCTGTGTCATTTCTGACAGACCCATCTGTCTGAGCAATCCTCGACATGAGACTGCTGGGGAGTTGTGGTCAATGACATTACAGAATGATGAAAATTGGAAAGCAAGTCAGGATGACTATATGAGTATGATGCCGTGCCCACCAGCGCTTGAGGTAGGCTGTTAAGGCATTGCCATGCCGCCAGTTTGGGTGATTGCTGGTTAATCTCACTCTTCTGTGTATGCAGGATTCACTTCCTGTAGCACAATCGAGCAAAAAGAAAAATTCAACTTCAAAGAGGAAGCGGCTAGCTATGGGGAAGCAGCACAAGATCGATGAATACAACTCTTTCCACCTTCCTGCTGAGACCAAATTTCCCAACAGCTGCATAGAACCTGGTGCAGCAGATCCGGATGCCTCGTTTTGCACCAAAGAAGATGAGGATGCAGTGAAGAAGATGGTGCTGAGGGCAAGGAAGAAAAGAAAGGTGAAAAACACCAACTGATTCAGAGGATGAGGTTGCTTGTGAGCACCAAATGAGATGATGCCATGCTGCTAGCATGAGGAAAACCGAGCTATTGCATTACCATGTTGTACGTTATTATTACCCTGTTATTATTTACAGTCAGTATTATTTGTTATCAGACGCTCATAGGGTGTTTCAGATTTTCACAGAAGTTGGTTGTGCAACTTGTGCAATTTATCTATAGTGTTCTAAGCAACACTGCAGATCAATGTTCAACCATGAGTTCGGTAGCTATACACGCAATCAAACCACCAGCCCTAACTTCCAATATCGCGGCTGACCCATTCCAGTTTAGCAACACGTGGCAGACGCAGCACAGCATGCCTGCCGCGCCGGGGGCCAAGGAGACTCGAGCTCCCGTGTCGCATTCTCGCGAGGCAGGCAGCAGCGTACCCCGGCTTCATGCAAAAGCCCAGCGTGGATTCCGCCACGCAGGCTGGAGTGACGCTGTCGCATTAACCAGAGCATTGTCGTCGCAATCGCCTGGCGACTGCGCTGTGCATAACGGCGATGGCTGTGCGACGCGAGGGGGCTGCTTGCGACCAGCGGAAGGTAGTTCCCGCTCCGCGCGGTCCCACCCGGCGCAGAGGACTCAAGCTGCGTGGGTCCCTCCACCTGAAAGGCAAGGCTGCAGAGAAGTCCGCAGGGCGTGGGTGGAATGGAGCAGTGGCGGCTCGGCGAAGCTAGTAACGAGCGACGGATGGATGAACTTCTCGCAAGAATCAAGAAACTGACGGAACTGATCTCTCTCATGGGATGAGTGGCGTCTTTCCGCCTTGCTGAACACCTCACCTGTTGCGTCCCGTATGCGCTTCAAGTTCCGAAGAAAAGGGTTTTTGCCGCGCTTCAATTTGGTATCTCGCGCCTCTTTCTCGAAGGGCAGTGCGGTCGTTCTCGACCCAATCTCGCTTCGCCCGTCAGCTAATCCTAGCCACTCGTTACTTGCCTCCCTCCGGTGACCTTTGAGTCGACCTAGGAGTCACTCGGCGCTCTCTTTATCAGCCTCCCTCCTTTATTTCCGCCGCGTTCGGCGGCAGGCTCCCCGCGCGCCATGGCGGCGTCTCTCCTGGCGTCCGCGCTCTTCCTGCTCTCCTCGCTCATCTCCGCCATCCTCTTCTCCCCGCACTCTCCCCCCCTCCTCCTCGCGCTCCCGGGGGAAGTGCGCCGGATCTTCCTCCCCGCGCTCGTCCCGTCCGCGATCGCGCGCGCGAGTGCCAGGGGCGGATGGGTGGGGGGAAGGCAGCGCTTGGGTCTGCCGTCTTTCATCATTGCAGCTGATGGTGGTGAGTCATCTGTATGGCTGGTGGTGAATCTTGACTGCCGCGAATTATGATATAGATTGTCAGTTGCAGGTTCTGAATTCAAGTAAAGGGGGTCCTGTGTAGTATCTAGTTTTCAGATGCATGGCATGACTTGTGATGTTCTGCTTCTGGCTCTTTCAGTCAGCTAGTTGTGCTCAGTTTTAGTCAGTCTTGGTTTTGCTCTGTTTTGTTTTGTTGGTTATTGTTTTTGGGCTGGTTGCCGTTGTTCTGTTAAGTCCTGGTTGTGATGTTGTGCTCATGCACAGTTAGTTTAAGCAGTGCAAGGAACGGACAGATAGGCAGCACTTGAGCGTCTGGGAGCAGTGACTGTGTGCAGGAGGCAGTGAGCCTAGATTGATTTTCGTTTCGTTGTAGTAAGCTGGTGATTTGCTCTAAGGTCGTTTCTGGTAGGCACGGTCGGCTGCGCTGCAGATAGGAAAGGTTTCGCCTTTCCATGGCCCACGGGTTTTAAAAGTGTCTGTTTCGTGAGGCACAGGTTCCACATCTGCCTGTTTATTTGGTTTTCTGTTTTCCACTCATGTACTTGTGAGTGAAAGCGTGTACTTGCATGTTTCCTATATGCAAACATAGCTTCTACATTTCATGTCTTAAATCGGTTCCCACTACCTTTTGCCTGTGCTGTATCTTCCTCCTCATGCAGATCCGTCCCCTCCCCTCCTAGATCTTATCTTACTCCTCCTTTTCCCCTTTCGTAGTTCCTCTATTCCCCTCTCCAGCAGCCCATCCGTCCCTCCGCATGGTTCCACCTGCTCAGTCCGACCTCCCTGCCGAGGCTGTACTGGGGGAGGCTGTATCTGGCGCGCGAATGGCTCTTATCCTCTCCTTTCAGGGCGTCTTATCTCATTCCCCTTTCTCTCTTCGTTCTTTCCCCTTTCTCCTCTCCTTTTGGGGCGTCTCATATCACTCTTCTCTTTCCCCTTCCTTCGTTCCTTTCTTTCCCTCTGCAGCAGCCCATCCGTCCCTCCGCATAGTTCCGCCTGCTCAGTCCGACCTCCCTGCTGAGGCTCTACTGGGGGAGGCTGTATCTGGCGCCGTGCATGGCACTCCAACCAACAAGAGGGATGGTTCCAGGCCCCCCCTTTCCCCGGCCCCTGATGCAAGCCTGGCGGATGCTGGCGTGGGGGGGCTTGGAGAGGGGGGACGCGGAGTAGGAGTTGTTCTCCCTGCCGTTGATGTGAGTGCAGGAGGGGAGAGGGAGGAGCAGGAGCAGGAGCAGGAACAGAGGCAGGGACAGGCAGAGCTGCAGCAACAGGAGGAGAGGGGTGTGGGGAGGGATGAGGAGTGGAATGCGGCAGTGGAGAGGGCAGTGGAGGAGGCGGTTTCAGATGCCTTCTCCCGCGCCCAGTTCCTGCTCGCCTCTCTAGATTCCGTGCGCCGGGCAGGTCGGGCAGCTCAGAAAGCTTTTTCTGACCGGAGCTTTGTTGCCCTGGTGGAGGAAGAATTGGTTTTGCATTTTGGGGAGGAGGAGATGGAGGGGGATGGGGAGGGAGGCCAAAAGATTAGTGAGAAGGGGTTGAGGGGCGTTGATGTGGATGTAGGGGGGAGAGTGGGTGAGGAGGCAAGGCGGAGGGCTGAGGCAGTGGTAAGAACAGTGGTGGTGATGATGGGAGAGAGGGGGGAGGAGGGCGTGGAAAGTTCTAAGATGGGCGCAGAAGGGGAGGAAGAGGAGGGAGAGGGAGGGGAGGAGGCAGAGGAGGGAGAGGAGGAGGGAGGGGAGGGAGCTGCTGGTGGTTCTACTGGTAGGCGCTTCAGGCTTGCAGAAAGGCTCAAGGGATTGGGAGACGTGGCACGAGACAAGGTGTGGGACATGGCCGACTCGCTTCTCTCTCGCTTGCGGGCTGCCGGGCAGAAAGTTGTCAGTGCGGAAGAGTTTCTTGCTGCCCGGGCGAGGTACGCTGCTGCCCGGGTGCACGATGCTGGCAAGCGTGTTTTGGATCGTGTGGTGGAGAGCGGTCGGGCAGCCAGGGAAGATGCTGAGGCTGCCCGAGATGCTGTGATCGCGACCGGCCGGGCAGCAAAAGAAAAGTTCGAGGCAGCTTGGGAAAAAGCGCATGGAGCCGGGCAGGCTGCTGTGGACACAACAGTGGGATTTTGTGCCGGGGCAGCGGAGTTCGGGCAGGAAGCAATTGACAGGTGCAGGCAGGCCGGGCAAACTGTGTGGGAGGGCGGAAAAAAAACAGTTGGGGCAGTGGAAGGAGGAGTGAAGGGCGCAGTGGAGGGAGTGAGGGAGGTGGTGGAGGGGGTAGAGGAGGCAGTAAAGGATGTGAGTGAGAGAGTGAAGGGAGTGGGGAGGTGTGTGGTGGAGGAGGGGTTTCTGCCACACACTCATGGCCATGGTCATGGGCATGGGCATAAGAATGAAGAGGCGGGAGCACCATCCTCCCCTGCAGCACCCACGGCCTTCCTTGGTCCAGTGTATGATGTAGCCACAGAGGCTGTACGCATGGAGCATGGGGGGGAGGGGGAGTGGGGGGAAGAGGGGGTGGGGGAAGGTGCGGTGGGGCAGGTGGGGAGCGCATGGGATGCTGCAAAGGGTCGTGTGGAGGAAGGTGCGGAGAATCTGCGGAGTGAGATGAAGGAAGGTGCGGAGAAGTTGCAGGAGGAGGTGAAGGAAGGTGCTGAGAAATTGCCGGAAAGGTTGAAGGAAGGTGCTGAGAAATTGCCAGAAAGGGTGAAGGAAGGTGCTGAGGGAGCATGGGAGGAGGCGAGGGAGAGAGGCAGCAAGATGGGAGAGAAAGTGAAGGAAGGTGCTGAGAAGGCGTGGGAAGAGGTGAGGGAAGAGGGCAGCAGGGTGGGTGGGAAGATGAGGGAGAAAGCTGAGGAGGGATGGGAAGCAGTGGAGGGGGCTGGGGAGAAGATGAGGGAGGGGGTGAGGAGGGAAGGGGGAGGCGAAGGGGAGGAAGGGGAGATGGGGGATGGGGTGTGGATGGAATTGCAAGGAGTGCGGTTTTTCCAGCCAGTACGAGATGCAGTGCGTCCCAAGAAGGCCGACGGCAAAGAGACAGCAACAGGGGAAGCAGCAGAGGCAGAAGGGACAGAGGGAGCAGAGCAGCAGGAGCAGATGCAGCAGTGGGAGCAGTGGGAGAGGGTGAACCCACCCTTCCCCTCTAGTGCTCTAATGTCCCGCCTGCCCCTTTGGTTCCAACGCCTCGTACTGCCCATCCCCCTCCTCTCCCACCTCTCCTCCCTCCCCACCTCGCCTCCTCTCCTCGTCCCTGCTCTCATCCGCACAGCCCACCTCGCTGCTTTCTCTCTCGCCTACACGCTCACTCTCGTCCTCACCTTCCTGCCCATCGGGCAGCTCCGAAATGTTTTCTCACCTTCGCCTGCCCAGTTGGGTTCGATGGTCGAGCGGGCGGTTCTTAGGGTGCTCTTTGCCACGTCAGCACTCTGCCTTCTCTCCCTATCCCTCGCACACTCCGGTAATCCCCTCTCCCCCTTCCTCCCTTCTCCGTCGCCTCTCCTTAGCCCTGCGTGGAGAGAAGGGGGGGAAGATGAGGAGAGTGGCGGAGGAGAGCGGGAAGCATGGGTGGAGGGGGCAGGGGGGATGGGAGGGGGAGTGGCGGAGTGGGGGAATGAGTTGCAGCTGTGGCTGCTGGCGGCAGCAACGGTGTTGTCAGCACTGCTGGCGCTCATTCTGCAACCGCTGCTGTCCTATGTGAGTGCGAGTGGTACCACCCAGGGGGATGCATGCATGCATGCATTCTGGGAGTGTCGCGAGTTTGTTGTTGCTGTCAATGGACACGGTGGCTCTGCTGGCTCTCATTCTGCAACCTCTGCTGACCTACGTGAGCGTCACACACACACACGCACGCACGCACGCACGCACGCACGCACGCACGCACGCACGCACGCACCGTGTCCGTCTCGCGCCCTTCGCCCTAACCTCTCATATCCTACCCAAAATCGCTGTCTCGTTTCTTTTCCCCCTTCTCATTCCCGTTCCCTCCTTTCTCATCCGCTCCCCTTTCTCCTCACGCATATCAGAGCATGGAGGAAGCAGCAGCGCTCGCTCGCGGCCCCTCCTCTCCCACGCCTCACCACAAGCGCCCCCGCTACTCCTGGCGTCTGCGCCGCCACTCTGCACTGCATGCCACCACACCAGCAGCACCAGGAACCCCTCCGCAAACCCCTCAACCTCCGGCTACTACTCATGCGGCTCACATCGGTGAAGCGCCTATTCCTCCCGCTGCTTCGTTTGCCGAAGCTACTGCTGCAGTGGTCTCTTCTTTCGTCTCGGAGGGAGCAGCAATGGCAGCACAAGAGCTTCCTACTGCTGCTGCTGCTGCTAGGCCAGCACAGGAATCAGAGGCAGTGGAAGGGACGGAAGGGGAGGGTGTGGAAGGGACGGGAGGGGAGAGGGTGATGGGGCAGCAGCAGCTGCTGCAGCAGTGGCAGCAGAAGCTGCAGTGGCGGGTGCGGGTGCTGACTGTGCTCAAGAGTGTGGCGACTCACGCCCTGTTGGCGGTGCTTACGTGGCACCTGTGGCACCTGGCGTGTCGTGTGCTCATGTAATGGGCTGTGCTGGCGTGACGTTCACGACACAGTGTTACAAATACGTGTACAGTTTGTAAATGTGGGAAGAACGGATCTGGGAGGACTGCCAGGGTGACGTCACTTATGATCACCACCCGTCCCCCCACCCCCTTGCTCTCCTAGTGACATGCTGCTAAGCTAACAACATTTTTTCTTTGCTTGCATGTTTTTGTTTTTGTTTCGTTTGATCGAATCTATGGTAATTGTAAAATTCTCCATTCCTTTTCGTCCTCTACTGAGTACGTTACCATCCCATAATAGAGAAGTTCTGTCGTAGCTCACACTGCCTAGAAGACAAGACAAATTATTCCAAGTTACTGGCTCTGTTCTGTAGGCACATGCCGTGGGGGGAAGGAGGGGGGGGGGGGCGAAAGTAAATGGCGAGGTTTCCTTAGCAGTTTCCCTCTCGAGATCATCCCCACCCCGCTACAACCGAGAGCGCGAAACTTCGAGAGCTGGGGCGGAAAGTGCCGACGGTAAATGACGCATTTACCTGCTCAACTTTGCGCCACATAGGCAGGGGTACATCGAATCGAGCGAACCTACAGATGAGGGTAAACTTTTGCATGAGGGGGTTCAGCTGTGGAAAAACGAAAAGCAAACATCGCTCTCAAATTTCCAAGATGGTTGGGCGTTTTTTTCATCCCGCGGGTTGTGCATCTCTGGGTGGGTAATCGCAGCATTAGTGCATGTCTTTCTAGGGTACAATGTCAGAATGTTATATTTGTCTAGCCTGCAGTGGGGTATTCTATAGTGAGTATAGCCCAAATTAGGGTTTCCTATATGTACTCAACTGCTTGCTAGTGCAAACCCTCTTTCCTATTCTAACTTTCTGCTTACTTTCTTCACATGCTATCAGAGCGACTACGCTCTTGGCCTGTGGGCCCACCTGCTTCCGCTGCTGTCCTCCCCGGGGCGCGCGACGTTTTCTGCCTGCCGCGCACCCGGCGCATGCGGCGTTTTTTCTTCCCGCCACGCGCTCAGGGCGCGCGGCGGTTTTCTGCCCGCAACGCGCTCGGGGCGCGCGGCGGTTTCGTCGCGGCGCCCCGGGGGCCCGCGCGCTCTCTCCTCCCGTCGCCCGTCGCAGCGTCCCGGGGGCTCATGCCCCGCCCCCTCCCGTCGCCCATCGCGGCACCCCAAGGGCCCGCTCGTCACCCCCTCCCGTCGCCCGTCGCGGCATCCCGGGGGCCCGCGCCCCGCCCCCTCCCATCGCCCGTCGCGGGGCCCGGGGGCCCGCGCGTCGCCCCCTCTCGTCGCCCGTCGCGGCGCCCTGGGGGCCCGCGCGTCGCCCCCTCCCGTCGCCCGTCGCGGCGCCCTGGGGGCCCGCGCGTCGCCCCCTCCCGTCGCCCGTCGCGGCGCCCTGGGGGCTCGCGCGCCGCCCTGCCCGTCGCCCGTCGCAGCGCCCAAGGTGCTGCCCGCGTTTGTGCCCTGCGCCGCACGCACTCCTCCTGTGTTGGGGGTATGGGGGTGGCGGGTGGGTGAGGCGTCCCCTGCTCCTCCTCCTCCTCCGTCTCCCACTGCTGCAGCTGCCGCTGAGGGGGGTGGGTGTGTGGGAGCCGAAGGAGTGGTGCTAGGGGGGTGTCGTGGGAGTGGAGCTAGAGGTGCAGCAGGGGGTGTGTGAAAAGGGGGTGGGACAGCTGGGTGAGGTTGAGTGGAGGTAGCTGTCGTGTCGCGAGCAGCGCCAGTAGTCCGGAGGCTACAATCTCCGGTAGTCGCCAGTCGCCCGTGGGTCAGATGCTCCACCCGCTCGGCGAAGCCGCGGAGCTAGTTACTCCTGAAGTCCTGGCCATTGCTTAAGTAGCCACTGAGCCAGCCGCTACCGTGTGTCTGCAGCTTCCGCCGTCGCCTCCCATCTCCTCTCCTCTCACAGTCCCTCCTCCTCCTCACTTTCCCTCTGTGAATGCCTCTAGCTTTGCTTGTACCTGTGAACCAGCTCTATGCCTGCTTGCTGTACTGATGATACCCCGCTTTGACTATGGGGGTGTATCAGAATGTTATATTTGTGTAGCCTGCAGTGGGGTACTCTATAGCAAGTATAGCCCAAATTAGGGTTTCCAATATGCACTCAACTGCCTGCTAGTGCAAACCCTCTTTCATGTTCTAAGTTTCTGCTTACTATCTTCACATAAAAGATGGGTGTCCCCACTGTCATAACATTATAGCTTATGCTTTTGTGTAGACTGTAGTGGGGTATCCCGTAGGGGGTACAACCCAGTTAGGGTTAGTACTTGTACTCACTTCATTCATAGTTCATTCATTCTCTCGTTCATGCTTTCTCATGGTATCGAGCAGGTTCCCTCGTGGGAACTGTTCCTAGGGCCCACCGATTTTTTTTTTCCTGCCTGGGGCGCGTTCTGCCCCTGCCCGAACGCGTCACCCTTAGCGACCTGTCGCATCACCCTTAGCGACCCGTCGCGTCACCCTTAGCGGCCCGTCGCGTCGCCCTTAGCGACCCGTCGCGTCGCCCTTAGCGACCCGTCGCGTCACCCTTAGCGACCCGTCGCGTCACCCTTAGGGTCGCGCCCTTCTTAGCGACCCGTCGCGTCACCCTTAGCGACCCGTCGCGTCGCCCTTAGCAGCGGCCCATCGCCGCCCTAGCAGCGGCCCGTCGCCGCCCTCTCACCAGCGGCCCGTCGCCGCCCTTCTCACCTGCGGCCCGTCGCCACCCTAGTAACGGCCCGTCGCCGCCCTAACAGAGGCGCGTCGCTGCCCTTCTCATCTGCGGCCCGTCGTCGCCCTAGCAGCGGCTCGTCGCCGCCCTTTCACCTGCGGCCCCGTTGCCGCCCTACCAGTGGCCCGTTGCCGCCCTTCTCACTGCGGCCCCGCCGCCCTAAACTGCTACGGCCTCGCCGCCCTCTGCTGCGGCACCGCCGCCCTCATCTTCGGCCCTGCCGCTGTCACCTGCGGCCACGCCGCCCTCTGCTGCGGCCTCGCCCCCTCTCACCTGCTGCAGCGCCGCCCGCCACCAGGATTGCTCGACCCACCCCACCCAGCCGAGCAGCCGACCGCCGCCCCGCCCTGCAGCAGCACCGCCGAGCCGCCCAGGCGACGGAGCAGCCGAGCCGCCTCGCAGCCGAGCCGCCCAGCAGCCGAGCCGCCCTGCAGCCGAGCCGCCCAGCAGCTCAGCCGCCCAGCAGCCGAGCCGCCAAGCAGCCGAGCCGCCGAGCCGCCCGGCAGACGAGCCGCCCAGCAGCCGCGCCGCCCAGCGGCCAAGCCGCCCAGCAGCCGAGCCGCCGAGCCACCGAGCCGCCCTACTTCCGAGCTGCCCAAGCTGCCCAGTCTGGTGAGCACAGCGCCTCTTTCACTTCACTGCCCTCACCCTACTGTTTGCACTGCTAGCCTACTGTGATCATGGCTACCCCTAGTGTCCTCGCTTTTGACGCTGAGGGTCAGGCCATCGACTTTGAGGTCTGGGTAGACGACCTACAGCTGTTCTTACAGTGCGATAGGGCAGACGGTCTCTCTCTCTCTTTGACCTCACCTTTGGCGCTTCCCCTGCCCCTGCTGCTGATGCTGACGCCACTGTTCGCTCCCAGTGGGCCACGCGCAACGCTGCTACACGTCTTGCTGTGCGTCGCCACCTCCCTACCTCCGAGCGTGCGCACTTTAGTCAGTACAAGAGTGCTCAGACCTTGTACGACGCTGTAGTCGCGCGCTACTCCTCCCCTGCCACTGCTGCACTGAGCCGTCTCATGCTACCGTACCTCTTCCCTGACCTTGCTGCCTTTCCCACAGTCGCTGACCTCACCACGCACCTCCGCACTAGTGACACTCGCTACCGCGCTGCCCTTCCTGCTGACTTCTGCGCCAAGAACCCCCCCCCATGTACATCACTCTCTACTACATAGTCACTCGCCTCCCTGACTCCCTTCGAGTAGTTCGGGACCACTTTCTCTCTGTCTGTCCCACCACTCTCAATGTTGACCTCCTCGAGAAGTCCCTCCTAGCGGCCGAGAAGAGCATAGTCGCTGTAGGGGCCTCTCGTGGTGACCCGCGCACCCCCATCTTTGAGGGGTGTTCCCCCTCCCCCCTTCTGCCCTCTGTTGCCTCTGCTGCTACGGCCGACCTTCTTGGTCTTGAGTCGGTCGGTGCGGCGTCTGCCCCTAGCGGGCGACGCCGCTCTGGCAAGGGCAAGGGGGGCAAGGGCACTGGAGGAGCGAGCGGGGGCGGTGGAGGTGGAGGTGGAGGCGGCGGGGGGAGTGGGGGTGGCGGTGGGAGTGGAGGTGGGGGTGGAGGTGTCGGTGGCGGCAGTGGAGGCGGAGGCGGCGGCGGCGGTGGCAGTGGGAGCGGGGGTAGCGGAGGTGGTGGCAGTGGAGGAGGCGGCGGAGGCGGCGGTAGTAGCGGAGGCGGTGGAGGCGGTGGGGGCGGCGGGGGTGGCGGTGGAGCTGGTCGCGGGTCTACGTCGAGGAGTGGCTCCGGTGGTGGTCAGCGCCAGTAGCAGCAGCGTGGTCGTGAGGCCCTGTCCCCTCAGCAGCTCCGTGAGTGGTACTCTGCACGCCAGAGGGGTGGGGGTTTTGGTCCGTGCACCTACGTCCTGCGCACCGGCGTCCGTGCGGGTGAGCAGTGTGGGGGTGCGCACCCCACCCAGCGCTGCTTTGGCCGCCTGACGGACGCGTGGCGTCACCAGTTCCCGGAGGCCACAGAGATCCCTCGCTGGGGCGAGAGTTGCTATCTATGATCTTGATTTTGATGCTATTCTCTCTGCCATGTATGCTGTGTCTTTTAGTGATGAGGGTGACTGTTACCGGTGTTTCCCGCTCGATCCAGGCATTGAGACTGCTGCTCTAGGTACTAGTGAGGCTGCTGCCCTAGGTGCTTGCGACGCTGCTGCTCTAGGTGCTAGTACGTCTGCTTCCTCAGGTACTGGTGAGTCTGCGCTCTCAGGTACTGCGCCGGCTTCGGCCTCCCTCACCTTCACTCTTGTCTCTGGGGCCTCTCGCTCCTTCTTTCGCGACCGCACCACACTCACGTCGCTTCGT